CAAAGTAGTCATTCTATAACGCTACACCGGCCTTCAGCCAGGTCCCGCTTATAAAGATTTATTATTATGTAACATATTGAATATTTTTTTTGATTATCTCCTTTAAACTTAAAGTTGGCTAAACTATTAGAAGCACTCATTCAAGGTGCTTATTTTAAATCAATAATTCGACTTAAATATATATTATTTTAATTAGTTTGGCGTTTGGTAGACAGCATGAAGTAAAAAGTTTATTAGCATTAAAATAAGAAAAATTATACAAAATTGGCATCATATTGGTAAAATAAGAAAAAAAATTTTTTAAAGTGACATCCCATTATGCTAAAAATAGGGAATATAGAAATATTTAGTTTGCATTAACATTTAATACTTTACTTATTAATTCTTCAATTAAATACGCCAACCATAAAAGAGTAACCGAATTATATGCCAAATAAAAACTATGAAATTATGCCTTCGCGTAAAGTTAGCGTAACTTCTAGCATTTTAGAGCTTCAATCCGTTTGGTAGATAGTTTAAAGAAAAAACTCATTAGTTATAAAAATAAGGAAAAATTGCCGAGCATCATGCCAGAACTAAAATCACATAAACACTGAAAATCTGGGTACGCCAATATCTAATGCCTAATTAATATTTACTAATTCATCAATCAGTTTTATTAATCAAAAAGGCCAATTTTAGGGAAACTAGATTTATAACCGCTGTAGAGAAGTCTTTTAAATTTTAAATTGCATTTCTAACATTATAAGGTTTTTCCCCCGATTCAAAACATTTTTGAATCTTATGATTATGATCTTTATAGACATTATTTGTTTTTTTCGTTTTATAATAGATATAAAAGAAAAATAGCTATAATCTTATTATATTTTGAATAGATTTATATTTTTCAATATTTTGATATGAATCTGTCTTTAATATTAAGACGCATCCTAGGCATGAAGATTTACAAAACTTTTGAAAGCCTCAGTTCTAAAGACAATATGTAATGCTTTACATGTATACATTTCTGGTTAATACTTTAATCCATTTTAATAGTATAAATAAAATGTTAATTAACAAAATACAAAAAAAAAATCTAAAATTGATTTCAAAGATGCAAGATTGAACAAGCGCTATAACAATTATAATATAATAAAAATTAAATAAACAAAATACACAAAAAATTTTTTTATATTATAACTGTTATCAAAAATCAACTTTTATCCTATAATAGACTTGCGGCATTTTCAGAGAAATGTTATATAACATAATAAGAAGTTAAGTAAAGCAATATACTCATTTTTTTACACTTATAAATAGAAAAGGTTTAGCATATCCCATATGAATTATAACAACTTTGGGAGGAGTCTTGTTTTTTTTTCGAAAATATTTTATAACAAATTATAATTATGCAAGAATTTGATTTTATTCGTAGTTTTTTTTAAGAAAAATTTGCCCGCACTATTTAATATCATAGAGGGATTCAGTCATACCCCCCCCCCCTCCCGTCCTCTGTCTACGGCATTGAATCCTTTGGTCTTATTTGTTGTCATACGCCTTAATAGTAAGGAAATTTACTACACATAAAAATAATAAGGTTCATTATTCTCATACAAAAGTAAAGCTAGGATAGGATTGAAGGAAACAGTGATGTGAGTTAGAAATGATTATATATCAAAGATTGGTGTTGTCGCATTTAAAAAAAATATTTCATTACTCTATAAAATATTACAAGACTTAAAATTTGAATTTTTAATACCTCTCACTCAAATACTATCAACAATATTATCATATTATTCAATCATGTTACATTACATAATTGATTCAATAAGGTAATGGCGTATAGCGTCGAATGTTATAGTGTTTCATTATGTTTTGTTAAAATATTATTTAACATTCAATGAAGTATTATATATATATATATATTATACTACTTGATTGGGGATTCATTAATTTGAAGTGTAAATACATCGGTGATAGCTGAATTGCCATTTTATGGTTTGCACGTAGATTAATTATCTTATTGATCATTATATTAATGTACATAAATATTTATAGCCTCAATGGCTCAGTTGCTTTGGTATTGATCCTGATTTTTAGGAGATTTTTAAACATCATTAAGATGTTAGCTAAAATAATATTATGTAGGCTGGAGATTTTTCTCATATATGTTGGACCTCTATTTTCCAAATCTCGAGGCTCACAGAATATTATTTTGGCTAGAGTCTTAATCGGGCAAATGTTTAAATTGAACCTAAATTGGGTTTTTAACAACACTATTTCTATTTTGAATGGATTGGTTTCTTTGGGGGTATGATATGTAGCAGCTGGGAAGCGATCGCAAGATTCCATTAATGGATATATACTTAAATAGGCAATAGTAACTTTAATAAAAGATGGCGATTGTTTAGCAAATTGCTAAATAATGACAGCAGTATATATCGACCTGATTGCATTTTAACAATTCCCCGTAGTTTACTTTGTATATATGTATGCACTTATTAACTATTTCATTAAATTTTTTCATAGTTATAATATATACAAATAAGATCTCAGTAAGATTCTGTTAAAGAATCCAAGGATTAATTTTTTTTAAGAAAGAAGCGATTTAAATGGCTGTGTATTATGGGGTATAATATTATAGTAAATCGGAAGCGATTACATGATTCTATATTAAAAATAGCTCTTACTGCATTTTAAGAATTGGTCGTTGTTTAGCAAATTATTATATATTTAACATTAACCAATGTTTTAAACATGCCCGATTTAATATATATATATATAATAATAATTTAATATATATAATATATAAACACCTGACAGGTAAATGTTTCACAGACCCATTTGAAATCTTCATATGAGATGGGGGGGAGGGGAGTTTAATTTGAAGCCAATGATTTTTTTAGCTTTTTTTTAATATAGTATAAATATATTTGGTCCAAGTTTGAGGCTGTAAATATATTTTGAGGGGAGAGGGGGAGGGTAACGTTTAATGAAGTCTCATAACTTCTAGCAATGGATGATAAATACTTTGGTATGAAAGGACTCCATAAGGTAATAATACCCATCTTTATTAACAAGCAGCAGTTTTCTTCGTGGGAGAAATTTAAAGCAGAGATTTACATTATTATCCCAAAATTATATTAAACTCCTAACTAGGTTTAAGGTCTTCATCTTTACCCAAAAAGAATATGGCGACGAATTGCTCCACAGATAAATCAAAAATTATTATTTTTTGGAGGGAAGGGGGGAGGGGGTGATACAATTTTAAAATTAGAATATTTAACTATTAGATGAAAATTATTTCTATTTTCTATGCAAACTAAAATAAATTGCATTCGTTTAATATCAGTCTATTAAAAATGAATAATATATTTTAAATGTATTATTAAGGTGATATTTTATGAGATTTTTTTTAAGGCTTTCACGATTACTCCAAAATCTTATAATCATAAACCAAGTTGAATAAATTTACCTTTTTAACTTAAATCAAAATCTGTTTATCATTCCATGGTAATTAATATTTTTTTAATATAACTATTCAAAATCAAACAATATATAATTCGTTTAACGATCAGGTTTCACGTTTATTTAATTATTAAAATTGAAATTATATAATAAAATACGATTTTAAAATCAAATGTGTATATTTTTAATTTTATCATTATTTTAAAATAATAAAAACTTATATTATGATCCAAATCGCAGAATTTATAATATCTTGTTCTTATTAAGTGTTATGTTTGGCTATATCTTGTTATTCATTCACAATGTATATATCATAATTTTTATTTAGTTATATTTATTCTAGCTAATATGATCTATACTATTTCATAATATAGCATTCAATCACCCCAGAAATATTTAAAGCTTTTACTAAAATTAGTAATTATAAAGCCTCTAATTATCTTGAAATAGGAAGCAGTATATTCTTCATCATGTTTAATGATTATTTATAACATAACTTTATTTAATGTATTTATTGAAAAATACACCATTTAAGTTTAGCTTTTATTTGTTTTAACTTTATATTGAGAATGATAAGAATTGACAAGATTTCTATTATATATGATAAATATAATATTCAATTTAAACATTATACTGAGATATTTCTATCTTATTAAGAATTTAGAGGATTTGAATAATTTAAATGTTATATTGTAATTTAATATTGATGAGGATATCTTATAATATTTTGATATAAATAACTAACATAAATTTTAACTTTATATGACTTATTAAGTTTTCATAAGATTTCTACAATATAAATTGAAAGTCCATTTTAATTTATATTACTTATTAGTAGAATTCATAAGATAATATAAATTCATTTTAACTTTATGTATTTAATTACTATTAAGCTAAAAAAAGTATTTTACATAAAATTGTAAAATGCATCTTAATTTTTATTAAATTTATGTAAGAATTTTTATCTTTTTTTTCCCCCTTTCTAACAGCTTTATAAAAATAATTTATGTCATTTAATTATTAAATATAAACATAATATTTAATGAAATTTATTCTAGACAGTCAGGCATCAAATTTACAGATTAGAAATTCAATTTTTATTCCAAATTTGATGTTTAAAAATCAATGTTTCAATGAAAAATCTATCCGTGCAAATAAAATGTAGCACTGAGAATACCTATTTTAAACTGGCCAATGAATTCCAATATAGATGAATTGTTGGCAGCTTATGATCTCGCAAATTTTAGGGATACCCTTGTAAACGAATTTGATGAAATGACAAATATACTGCAATATATGCCAAATTTGACTGGGGTGAATACTTCATTAAATAACCCCCCATTAAATATCATTCTCGATCAGCCCAATTCGAAGCATCAACATGCCAATATATTTGAACATTTTGAAAATATTAATTCTAACATAAGTCCCTCACAATTTATAAACAAAATTCATTATCCCCCAATTATACCTATATCAAATAAGCCTCCTCAAATTGCAAACTCGTTATCTTTATCCAATTATAAACGATATATATATAAGGACAACAACATTTTCCCAATTAACCAGTCTTCGACATATGTCACAAATAATAATATTTTTTCTTTTTTTACGGCTAATTCACCAATCAAAAATTCAAATATTGCATTAAATGGAAACCTCATTTGTACCTCCATCCCATCTACCCCGTTACCTAGTATTATTTCATTGTCCAGCATGGTTCAATTATCCCCGATCTTATCTATAACTAATCTGGCTAATGAATACAAAAATACCGCGTCCAATATCATCAACGATACCACTACGCTCAATATGAATTCATCACAAACTTCCAAAGCAATTGATTCGGGAAATTCATGTAATATTCCTAAAAGTAGCAACGTTCTGGTATCATTGATTAATCACAAAAATCCCAAGATAAAAATACTCAACGATGTTCCGATAACTACAAATAATCATGAATTCTTGATATTAGACGCCCCCTCCTACGCTTTATACCATCGTAAGTTAGTTTTAGCCTTGGTCCATAATGATAGTTCGGTCAAGATCAATACAAGTTTCGCTGCCAATAAATGCCCTTCTTGTGGGATAAATTTTTCATTTCCGGAAAATCTCGCCAATCATTTGCAAGCCAAAACGGATTGCATATATCTCACCTTGAAGAGTGATAAGACTCCCATTAAAAATACCAACAAAGCTACTGAATTTATGTTCGAAAATCACTGTAGTCTTATTCTCTTTCTAAAGAGTCATTGTTGTATCGAAAAAGGAGAGATTTGGTTTACTTTGATTAACCATGTTCGCATTCGCAAATCCAATCATTGGCGAAATTGGGATACTGTCGGATACAATACGGATTCTACAAAGGAGCAAACTTGGGATTCACTCTGGCAAAGTAGTAAAGAGCATACTGAATCGATGATTAAAAACAACGAAATGCGGTCGGATTTATTCAAGCTTAGCCCGCATACCTTCAGTATTCTAAAAGACTTTTTAGTTGAAGAAGACACATGCGTTAATACTGGAGAAAATCTTAATGAAGAATCTGATATTTCTGATCTTAGTAATCTCAAACTTTCAGCCATATTGCCGCACGAAATCACTGTTAGTGACATTTCTATCAGTCTCAATTCTTCAGCCATATTGCCGTCAATTACTGTCAAAGATATCTCTAGTAATCTCAACCCTTCATTCATATCGCCTCATAAAATCATTACGAATGACACCTCTAGTAATCTCATCCTTTCATCTAATCTGTCGCGTAAAATCAATACAATTGATATCTCTAACAGTCTCAATCCCTCCGCCATATCACCACATAACATTAATACCAATGACATCTCTAGCAATATCGGCTCTTCCATCTTATTACCACATAAAATAGTTACGATTGATACCCCTAGCAGTCTTAACCCTATATCTATATCACCTCTTAAAATCGTTACAGATATAGAACCTGATTCGTCATCAACAGCTTCTATATCACCTATCATAAGCCCGCCTTTGTCGGAAGTCGATAAACATCCGTTTTTATGTATATACTGCACGGCCCCTTTCAAGAGCGCTTCTTCTCTTGATTCGCATTCTCGTTTGCATTATTACAAATCTCCTATAAGCTGCCCCGAATGTAGTACAGGTTTTACCAAACTTCAGGATTTGCACGACCATTTGATCGCCAGTCTAAAAGATGGTAAGGTTTCACGATCGTCTGGCACTATTGTATGTTGGGTCGGGTTTTGCAGGCGTCTACACTATTCATGCCCATTTTGTCAGGGGGATAATAATGACTTATTAGATGAAGATTCTTCCAGAGGCCACATCAAATCCCTTCATGAGCACTTGGTCAAATTTCACGGGTTTTTATCGGGCCGAGCGAAAGGCAAGAAAAAATCGAAGGAGTCATCTTGTTGGTATTGTCATCATACCGTTTCGATATCATCCAACGATTTTTGGTTGTACCATACACTTAACGAATGCGAGGCTTCTAGGCCTTTCAAACGAATCGTGTATCGGTGCCCTTTCTGTACCAAAGCCAATCGCCGTTTTACCTCTGAAAAAATGTCCCAACTATCACGGAATCTATCCAAAAAAGAACTCATACAAAATATAGCTGTCCTGGGACGCTCAACCCTATTCAAATCGCCTTTTGAATTAGCTCTCCATGCCAAACTGATGCATGGACTATACTTTGAAGAGAAGGGCGTAGTCAATTCTAAACCTCACCCTTTAAAGAGCTTCCCAATTTTGGGGTTAGAATGTAAATCCTGCCGGGCCCGCTTTGACGATATAGGCTTGTTGGATTGCCACATATTCGCAGGTCGATGCCACGATAATAATAAGAATAATGATGTGCTCAATGTTATAAATAATACTGACGTTTTTAATAGGCAAATTTCTCACAATTTCGATCTCAAAACCCTAAGCCTCTCCGATATTCGCGTAGTTCTTAAAGCTTTACCGATTCCTGAAACACCCTGTTCTCAATCACCTTTAGATAGCTTAGAAACAACTTACGATTGCGATATCTGTGGAAATCGCGCGGTTACAAAACTAGAATCAGTGCTCCACGCACTAAAACATGTCGATATAATGCCACATTTTTGTCCGGTTTGCCCTAACACACGCATGGGCTCCCAAAAAGATTTCGACGAGCACTTAATTAAATCGCATCAAGGACGAATCGAGTAATATTAGCTGCGGCCTTTTTCAGGCAACATTTTTTCAAAGCGTTTTCCTAGGCATGTTTACAGCAAATTTTTTTAATCTCCAGGCAGGATAATGATTTAACTAGTTATTTTTTTTAAAAAAATGATGGTTCCGTAATCTCCGACACCATTTAAGAAAAAAAAACTTGCCTCGGAAACTGCTTTGAAAAAAAGGTTTTGACTGAAAGTCGCCTAATAACGAAATCATGAACTTTTATTGAAAATCTATATGAATATTTTATTTTATACCTTTTAACTTATATATTTTTTGAAAATTGTAACATTTTTCCAAAAATATAACATTATATTTTCGTGACATTCATAACTGAAGGCTTATTTTTAAATCTATATTCCTAAAGACATGTCAATTAGGTTAATGAAAGACAATCTTTAAAGCCGTAGCTTAGCTGTTATTTTAAACCTAAATAGTTTTTAATAACATCCTCTTCATGGTAAAATGGTTAGGGACACTTTTTTGATGCACGCTATCGAATATCCCTATTTTTTTTATTCTGAACAAGAAAATGCTATTTTTAACAGCTGGCCACTCCTAAAACATAGAATTTGGCCACTAATTTTTTTTTAATAGTTAAACAAGTTATATCAATTCACGATATTAATTATGTAATGTCAATAAAAAATAATAGCTGCTGCCATTGTTCCGTTCATTTTAACTCCCTACTACCTTACATCGTTCACCTGCAAAGCATAAACGCCGAAAAAATTGAGGCAGTTGCGGGACCCGAAAGCGAGGATTTCGTCGAGGAAGTTGGTTGGACCTGCGAAATTTGTCCCAACGTAGGGTTTACATCTTTAAGTTCTCTTAGAACTCATTTACTCGTGGCTCACAAAATCACGCATTACCCAAAATCGGAATCTGGCGCCAGCAATTTAGACACCCTCTATTATTCCAACGACGATTCTAACATTTGCGCTATTTGTAGTCAAAGTTTTTCCGATACGATTACGTTACTTAAACACGGACGAATACATGGGATGGCATTTATAAAATCCAGAACAATCATGTCTTGAGATTTAATTAATTATGTAATTATGATAAGTAATGTCTATTTTCCTAATTATTGGCAATAAGCCGAATGTAATATATAAATAATCGTGTAATTTTTTTACAATCAAATTGTGATATTATATATACATTTTTTTAAAAAAATATTTTTCAATCGATGTAAATTATATTAAGGAAATAAAACTATATTAGATTCATTTTTTTTTGGCTCATATTTTATAGTTTGAACGTGACAAACATCCGATTTCTTAAAATTTATTGATTGGTATTTTTAACAAAAAAAAATAGTGGGTAATAGCTTAATGTCGGTTAATTTGGCTCAACCTACAGGCGCGTGTCGGATAAAATCCGCTAACATTAAGGCGTTTTAATTCATATTAGTTTCTTTCAAATTTGAGCTGCTATAGTTTTAAGGAAAACCCCGAGGTCAAAGTGATTATTTTCGGCTAAAAACTTTGTTTAATCGTGTTTTTTTTAGCTGGCTAATAATTGACTTAAAGAGCTAAAAAAAATCTAATTACCCAACAATTGTGAAAAGAAACAGACAATAAGAGGTGAATTTAATAACAATAATATTTAAATACCATATTGCTCAAAAATGTATCAAGCCACTGACCATGCTCATTATTAAAATTCGGATTTTATGACCGCATTAACTATTTTGTATCATTCAAATTTAAAATATGCTGAAATTAGAAATTACTTATAGAAAATCCTATTTTATTGAACAATAAAGTTCATTTTGCGATAAAAATGACATCCGGAGAAATCATGACAACTATTTGGTTTTATTTTCATTCCGAGGATGTCTGAAGCATGAATAATAATTTGGGACTTTAAAGGTTCAATTTATCTCCGCTTGAACAAAAGCCAACCAGGAGCGTTCCAATCGCGACGATTAATATGAATTTTTATGAAATACCATACCCCGGACTAAGATATGAAATTTAAGCCGCTTACCCATTAATATGGCTTGTAAAATAACGGGACGTACAGTTGCCTTTATAGCATTCTTCAGGTAAAATTGAATAGCCACTGCGAAGGCAATACTATACAAGATAAAAAGCAGAGTATCAAAAAAAAAATTTAAACAAAAATTATTTAAAAAAAAATATATTTTAAAAGATTTTGGCATTTTTAGGTAAGATTCAAAAAAAATTTCTAAATATTTTTGCTCAAAAACATTTTTGAAGGTTTTTTTAAGTTTAATTGAAACGTTATCATAAAATATATTTTGTACCAAGGAATACTTCGAGTGAGCTATGTCGGTATACATGGGGTAAAATTGACCAAATAACCTAAGGGGAACTCAGAGGTTTTACGATGGTAGAATTGGAATGCTTTAAGTATTTTTTTTATTCATTACCTTGGTTCACTTATTTGACGATGCGTTTTATAACGCAAAACGTTATTTTTTTTTGTCCTCATAATACCAAAATATATGATTTGTGTCTTTATCGATCATAAACATATAAGAATTAACAGATTTTAATAATGTATATATACTTAAATAGTATCAATAAGCTTAAATAGTATCGTAGAGTTATTTGTAGATATTTTTGATAAATGTGATCCGTCATTGGTAAACTCGTCCTAAAAATTGGCTCAATGGAGTTTTCAAAATATTCAATTTTTGAAACGATAACAAGCTAAATATTAATATGAACTATAATTTAGTTTATATATTATCTACCTGTAAATTTATCATCGAAAACGGTTAACCGATATTATATCATTGATGAATTTGACTTTATGACGGGAGTTTATGAAGAAGGGGATCTCGTATTTCTATGAATTCCCAAATTATAAATTTAGAAATTCGGCGTTTCGGTTAAATATTTTTTTTTTATAACTAAAAGGTTTTAACCCTTTTATTACATATAACTACTAATCAGTCATACAGTGTATTTTTTAACCTAGAAATTTTAATTGTGTTTATTGTTGTTAAACGGCTCGATTTGTTATATCCAGAAAAATATTAAGCAAGCCTGAAGATCTTGTTCATAGTTGGCACAAAGGTTTGAACATAAGCGAAATTTCATGGCTTAGGCAATATTTTTCTGGCTAAAATATTGAGTTAGCTGTTTTATAAAATTCGGCTCAAATCAAGCTCAACTAATTGTGTTTTATAAGTATTATTCCTTTTATTTCTTATATTTATTTATAAGGTGCGAGTATATTTAATGTCAGATTCTCCCTATATTTCAAAACTGACATTTTTCTTAATTATTAATTATACATTATTATTCAAAAAAAATTTAATAAGGATAAACAAGGTATTTCTATTCAAAAAAATTTTTTTCGTAATCTTATATATTCAAAATTATTCGTATGTAACTAATTGGTTATAAATATGATTTCCTCTTCTTAAAATTTTTCATCTGATTATATGATATAGAGGATAGGGACCGCTATTCATCGTAAGTTATAATTTTTTTTCAAACAGTTATACCTTTAATAGACGAGGAAAATTAAAATCAAATAAAAATATTTTTTAATCTTTCCAAATTATCTAAAAAATTTATCGAAAGTCCACTTTGTCGGGCAGTGAAGAAGCTTTAAAAGAAAATTCTTGTCAATCCATTAGCTAATTTGATCAACCATAGATCGCATATACATTTTAAACAATATATGCTCACTGAAGCCTTTTAATTGGGACTTCAAATCAGCACTCTTTTCAGTTGTTGGGCTTTGAAGAGTTGGGATAATGATATTATCACATTTAATTTTACACGTTGATAAATTATATATAATTTTTTTTCTCGGAATCAGAGGTTCATTTTTTTTCTTTCATAGGAACCTCAGGGATCCATATTAACTAGCATTACTTAGAGAAAGATTTTTGTCACTCAAATTTGGACCGAACTCTAAAAGATATGTAAGCTGGTTTGAACTTTTTGATATAACGATCAATCAATATTTTATTTAGAAGTACGTATACCAGTATATTTTTAGATTTCTTTGGACAAGGAGACTGCATCTGTGCTAAACCTATTTGTTGTTTCTGAAAAGCCAATGTCATAAATATTATATTCGAACACTTTTATGGAATTTACATCTCCATCAAGTTTCCGATAACGGTTTCATAGTAAAAAGAGTGAGTAAAATTTGCCAGCATTGAGGAGATGACAAAAATATACTACATAATTGTTACCAAAACAGGCCAGGATTGTGTCATATCTCCAAGTAAACAAGTTAGAAAAACTCATGCTTATCTAATCAAATAATAAAAGATGTGGATTTTTTTTATAGATTTAATAAAATAATTATCTGAAATAATTAAGACCTCGTTGTTACTGAACCAATTTTTGACTTTTAAAATCTAGTTGACTTCATTTGAAAATAAATAGTGAATCATATATCTCTTCAAATGTTTAAACTTAAATTATTTTTTTATTATTTTGTTAATAGTAGTGTTGTTATCGATTTGGGTCGATTTTCAAAAAAACGTCAAACTCAATTTTTTATCCAGATAATTATTACTCAAGCTTTCTCAATCTTATTTAAAATAATTTTTTTATATCCCTTTCTGTCAAATGTCTCCCTTTTTATTGGAATTGTAAATTAACTATAAAATTGGTTTCTTCTATATAACACAACCAAGCTGACAAAGACTAATCAATTTAAAACTAATTCTGCATTGATTTATTAGGAAGAAAAGAATACTAGTATGAACTCTTAAAGCTACCTCTTTCTACGCCTTAAACAAATTCAATAAGTTGGTTAGTAGTGTTAAAATCTATAAAACATTCATCAGTATTTTATATAATAATAATAATAATTGGCAAACGCCAAATAATTTATATTTTAACGTGATTTTATTTTGACATCTCAGATTATTAATATTATTGATCCAAATTATCGATTAATGTTCAACCCTGCCAAGTCAACATATTTGCCAAACAACTATCAAATTTGTTTTGAGATTCAATAAAACCCATTTTTTAATATATATATATGTTAGCATCCATGTGCTTTATCCGGCAAGAGCTTTTTTTTAAAGATCTAATATTATCCCAAACAAAATATCATTATATTTTAATATGTATAAATAAGGTTAATGGTTACCCGGTTAGTTTTAAACATTATCTTCTTCTATTATTAAATTTATATATGTTAGAGTCAATGTATTTTTTTCCGGCAATATGTTATTTTTTTTAGCTTTAGATTATTTTAGAGCGAGTTGATTTTACCGGAAATGTATGCCATCATGTTTGGAATACCTATCTTATGATTTGTAGACAATTTTGTTTTTAACCATTGAGCCATTTGTAATTTATATAAATAAAATGTATGAAAAATCTAATATAAATTATATTAAGTTTAAAAGTTCATAGAAAAATTGTCTAGGGTAGGAATTCTAAACCTGACTGCATACAATTCCGGTAAAATCATGTTTTTAAATTTAAATAAAACGCGCTCAAAAAATGATTCAAAGTTATAAAAATAACACATTGCCGGAAAAAAACACATTGACGCTAACATATATATATTTAACAAGTCTTACGAGTTCGAATTTCTTTTGTTAATAATTTTTAAAGATTATGGATATAATATTTTGATAAATTTATTTTTCTATTAGATTATATTTGAATAAATAAACATATGACGATACATATGAAAGTTACAGTTAGTTTAATAAAGTTGTGGAAAAATTATTTAATAGTTAGTCTATGGCAACTCTGCGCTTACGATTTTTAATCCCAGCTCTATCAATCAAAAAGAGGTCAGAGTGTGTTAGTATGGTATCTAGAAATCATAGAAATTGTATTGGGTTGTAGAGGTTTAGTTAACATAAAGTATTACCACATTGAAACACCATCATATAAGTAAACAATCGATTCATCGAGGAGACCACACATAACACAGCCATCTCCCCCCTCTCTCCCTCCAATAATAAATATATTGTTGTCATTATTAAAACAATAATTTGAAAATAAAAAAAAAGTAAAAGTTTTAAAATTTATTAAAATAATGGAAATTTTTCAGGAAAATGCATTTTAAAATAAAATTAAAAATATCAAATGTATACTTTAATAATCACCATGTATGAAGTCTTCAGGGTGAGGGTAGGCTAGTAGGAGAGACACCCTTAGGCCCTCCTATGAAAATAAAGGTTTATAAAGCTTCATTACTTGTGTAGAAATATTTTTT